GAACGGTGATCGAGAGTTTGTGATAGCGTACTTCAGCAAGTCGTTGTCAAAACCGGAAAGGAACTATTGTGTCACAAGACGCGAATTACTAGCTGTGGTAAAGTCGTTGCAGCATTTTAGCAAATAACTTCTGGGGCGGAAATTTCACCTACGAACTGACCATGCTGCACTAAAATGGCTATTGCAGTTTAAAAATTTAGAAGGACAAGTTGCGAGGTGGATTGAATTACTGCAGGAATACGACTTCATGCAGCGGGAAATCTCATGGCAACGCAGATTCATTGTTAAGAAGACCTTGTCCTGAATATTGCAAACATTGTACTAGGCAAGAGAGTAAGGAAGTGGTATCCGTGAGGATGCTCAGGACAGACCAACTCAGCAACGAGTGGAAGGACAGCTTACAACATGCACATCAGGAAGATCCGGACATCAAGCTGATTCTGGAATGGATGAAGGCCAGTGCTCCCAAGCCCAAGTGGAGTGACGTCTCAGCGATGAGTTCGACCACTAAAAGCTATTGGGCCCAATGGGACAGCTTGCTGCTTCAGGATGGAGTTCTGTGCCGTAAATGGGAAAATGTTCGGGGAGACAGCTGTCATTTGCAAATGGTTGTCCCTAAAGCTAAAGTACCGGATGTACTACAGCTGTACCATAAAGATTGTTCAGGAGGCCATCTGGGAGTTAAACGAACTCTACTGAAGATCTGAGAGCGGTTTTACTGGGTCCACTGTCGAAACGATGTCGAGGACTGGTGTCGCAAATGTACAAGTTGTGCGGCTGTAAAGGGACCTCAGACTCGTAGTAGAGTTGCATTGAAGTTGTTACATGGGAGAGCATAGCCATTGAGGTGGCGGGGCCGTTTCCGGAGAGTGAAAGAAGTAACAAGTATTTCATGGTTGTGATGGATTACTTCACTAAGTGGCCAGAAGCCTACGCCATTCCAGATCAAGAAGCTTCAACAGTTGCAGATAAACCAGTTCATGCAGTCTACTGTAGTTTTGGAGTACTTTTAGAGATTCACAGCGATCAAGGAAGGAATTTTGCGTCTCAAATATTCCAGGAAACTTGCCGAGTTATCGGTACTCATAAAAAAAGAACGACTTCTTATCACCCGCAATCTGATGGAATGGTAGAAGGATTTACAACCTAGCAAAATTGTAGACAATCGTCAACGAGATTGGGACAAGCACATACAACCGTTTTTTTGTCATATCGAAGCGCTGTTCACGAAAGTACATCAGTGACATCAGCTTTCGCAAACTTTGGAAGAGAATTATGACTGCCTGCAGACCTGATTACCGGGACACCACCTGATGCCCCACGTCGTATAACCGATTATGCAAATGACTTGCAGAACAAAATGAATGATGTTTGTGAGCACGTTAGACAATTGGGCCAGCAAATGTCTGAAAAGATGAAAAACCGGTAGGACCGCAAAATGAACAACAAAGAGTTCGACGAAGGTTCACTAATGTGGTTGCACAATTCAGTCCGCAGCAAAGGGAAATTTCCTAAGCTTCAAACTAAATGGGATGGCCCGTACCGGATTGTGACCAGGATCAACGATGTAACCTACCGGATACAGAAAGGCGCAAGAGGTACTCGTAAGGTCGTCCATGTGGATCGCCTGGCGCGTTATTATGGGACCGATAATGCTCGGGACGAGCATGTCTTTGGGGGGGGGGGTAGTGTTGCGCGCCACAGTTGATGGCACTAGTGCCATCTGATATCAAGTATCAGAAATAAGAGTGTCAAGATCTTTCTGAAACTCTCCCAAGATCCATCTTGTGGCGGGTGGAAGAATTAGGCATTCTAGAGGAGTCCACGCTCGAACTTTCCGCACTTAGTCTGTCAGGACCGGTATTTGCTGGAACGTTCTGGATGTTTCGATGGAAAAGGTGTATTTAAAGCCGCTGCAAGCCGTGATCGGGGCAGTATTGAATTTGGCGATTCAAGCGAAGCTTTGGTTCGAAATAAAGTGAACTAAAAGTGATAGTGTGATCAATTATTAGTGGTTTTTTTAAGTTCTAATTTATGTTCGGTAGTTAAAGTGTTAATTTTGGTAATTCAATCGGCAGTTTTTATTGTTACGAACCCTAAGCTGGTAACAATATCAATACAATTATTTATTTAATTACAATATCAAATCAAACGACAAATTTAATAAGATAATTTTTGTGACTTTTCCTCATTCATTCTCTCTACGTGTCTAAGCCAGCGAAGCATTTCATACTTACCTAATTCTTGTAAACCCCACTTTTCTATTATCACACATTTTCTTACCTTAAGGGGATTACATCGCTCAAATCCCAAAAACATCTTATGTTTAAAGAAGTTTGTATGTGAATCTCTTTGTGCCTGTGTCTCATAAAAAAATAACTTAAGGTTATCACAAATAAATTGTATTATTTAAAGATTTAATAAAATGTCCAAATTTTGGAAAACAATCGAAGTAAATAGGCTTTTTTTAAGATAAATTGTAAATTGTCTCAATATCGGCTTAATAGTTAGGCATGTATTATATACCAAAGAAACGCAATGACGCATTTAACAATTTGTATCGTTTTTTTAAAAAAATTATATTTATCAAATTTAATAGTAAAGAAATACCCAAAACTACATTAGCACCTCATGACAAGCACCCCCGCAAAGACCTGTGATGGATACTCCAAACGCAATATATCAAGTGTCTCGACAAATTCCACAAATCCTCAAGATCATTGGGCAATGTAATACCCTTAACTTTTTATTGTGGTAGAGCCACGTTGCAGCTGTATTATGATTGTAGTACGAATGAGTCGAATCGACCGGGGCAGGACCACACTCTCACAGAATACCAGCGTAAAATAGAATTAATACTATCGTTTTTTGTCCTTTTTACTGGAAACGAGGCATTCTATCTCAGTCCTCAGGGGTGAAAACGCATTTTGATTCTTAGTTAAGAATAAATGTAGATGTATATGGGCCACATCCACTTACCATCAGGTGGACTGTGTGCCCGTTTGTTACGCTTATTCTATAAAAACAAGTGCAATTTTCAAGTAGATCGGCCATCTGCAACATATATGTAAACACTCACGCCTGTCACCCAGAGGAGTAGGCAGAGACTACAGACTTTCATTTGGCAGGACCCTGACACACCTCTCTCGCCTCCTCCTTATTAATATACCTACGCATATACGCTCGTCGGTTAAGGGTAGGTACTCTTATTTGGCACATTTTCAATATATCGCCAATTTGGTCGATAAACTTTCGCCTAGGCCGACACTTTCTGATTTTGCCGTTCACTTTTTCTCTTTCTCATTCCTCATTCATTCTTTCTACATGACCAAACCACCAAAGCATTACTTTTTTAATCCTCATCATAACATCATCTTGCAAACCACATTTTTTTCTTATCACAAAATTTCTCACCCTGTTATTCTGTCACTTTTTTGATACATTCTAACTTTCCACAATAGAATGTAGAGTCCCATTTTCTTTATTTCCTGCGTTCACTCGTCGTTATATGCCTATCATATCTCTTATCCCTGCTGAATACACATACCAAACATACAAGTTCTACTTGCTCGACCAACTCCCCTTCTATTCTTATTTCATACATCGTTTTACTTTCTTCTCTTTAAAAAACCATAACTTTCGTCTTAGTTGCTTTCACTTTCATTCCCCTTTTTTTAACGACCTCTTCATTCAATGTAATCATCATTTGCAACTCAGCGGCCGACAATACAAATATGACTTGATCATCGAAGTACAAAAGGCATTTGACGGTTAACTGACCCATTCCTAACCCGCATTCTTCAACTTTCAATTTTTCAAACAATTCGCCATAAACAGGTTGAACAGCCACGAGAAAGCCACACAGCCCTATCCGACACCTTTATGGATACCAAATCAGTCCGAGTAGACCCCGATGATCCTAACATAAACACTAGAGTCCCAATAAAGAGACCTTAATACCTGTATAAACCCAGTACCCAACCCAAATGAGTTCAGTGTTGGCCATAGCACATCCCTGTCCACTGTGTCATAAGCCTTTTCCAAGTTCATGAACGTACAAAAAACTTTTTAGTTTTTAGACTTAAACTGCTTCGAGATCATGCGCATGGAAATGACTTGATCTGTATCCCCATTCCCTTTCTAAATCCCGCTTGCACATCTAAGTAGCATACAGTTTTCCTACAATGCTAAGAAGGCTGATACCACGGTAGTTTTTGCAGTCCTACTACGATCCTTTTCTTTTATGTATTAGGACTATCACGGCTTTGCACCAGTCTCCCGGTACCCGCTTTAGTTCCCAACATAAATTAAACAAGGTATACAACAAGCATGCCAACACTTCCTCTCCAGCCCTTAGCATTTCGAGTGAAACTCTATCATATCCGGCTGCCTTACCTGCTTTCGTGCTTTGCATTGCTTTCATAGTTTCATATACTATTCTCCCTCTCTCTTTCCTCTTTCGGAATTTCTATTTCATTTAAATCACACGTCTCCTCACTCATAAACACGCTTTCAGAATATTCCTTCCATCATTTCACACTCAAAACTTAATCATTCAGAATACAGCCAGTAAATATAACAGAATGCGAGTAACCCGGGTTCGATCTCCGCCGGCACTAATGAAATTGTTAATTGCAATTTTAAGTGCTAATTTGCCACGTGCTCGGTGGTGAAGGAAAACATCGTGAGGAAACCTGCATGTCTGACGAATAAGAAAAATATTTCGAAGACATGTGAAGTTCGCCAACACGCATTGGGGCAGTGCGGCGGACATTTCCTAGCCCTAAAACTCTCTCAAAAACGAGGGAGACCTGTACCCAGCAACTGGACATATATAGGCTGTAACTTTAACTTTATATGCTTTGAATGTCCCCTGGCAGTTCTTACAAGATTCTAGAACATTTTGATATTTTCCTCGAAGTTATCCGATATTCTTCTATCATTCTTATCATTAAAAAAATTCCTTATGTTGTGCTGTTAAGTAAACATCTGCCACTCACCGGTATATTGTCGGGAAGAGTTCAACGCTGACCGCGTTCATGAGGCCAATGCAGGCTCCTGACATCTGAAATATTGCGAAGAGCACGACAGCTGGTCGCACGGCGGGAACCAGGTGCGCGCTCACGCCGCACAGCCCCGTCACAACCAGCACGCACACGAGGATCGTCTTCTTGCCCACCATGTCCACCAGGAACCCCGCGATTATGTACATCGAGCAGAACACCAGGCCGATGTAGATGGATTGCTCGAAGGTAGCTGTGTTCATCGTGTCGTCGCACACGATCTTGAAACAATAAAGGCATTGGATACAAAAATATCGTTACCATCTCAGGAACAATATGAATTCAGGATGGTAAGTGACTACCGCCGTCCATGAACAACTATAACCAGGCCAGACCAGGCAAAGTTATACTTCCTTTTAAGGATGCTGGTGTTTACATCCCGAGTCGCCAAAGCATCAGCCTAGGCATGACAACACTCCTGCTACTACGTAGTGCAGTCTTACAGCAGTGGTCAAACCAATGCTGAGATCTGCCTCCGATGGGTACCACATATAATCGAATAAATTGTTCCATTCCTTGAAGAACCACATCAGTGACAGAATCAGCAACACCATTAGGATCATCTGGTGAGAAGTAAATCCGCCCATGGGTAGGATGCAAAGAAAAACCGCATTCTGTACCAATCCGCTGACCTGCAATGCCAAACACGACGGAAGTGTGCAGAACGTTACCGCAAAATCAGCGTGAGTGGCACCACACTCCGGATCAGACAATGATCTGAAAAGCCGAGGGGGAGTGTTGGCGGAAACCTGATATCCGTCAGAATGAAAGGTCAGCAGAAGGTCTAACAGGGAATATGTATGATCCTCCACATCTAGAATCTGCGTATGCAAAAAAACTACGATGGCTTACCGATTTGCCAAGCGTGACAAATATGACAAATATCCAATCAAATGAGGATGTCTATCGAAGCGGCCTATGTTCCTTAGTTGACTTTTAACAATCCTTACCGTTTCAGCCATTGAATTATATGTACTGCGTACTAGAGAAATTATTCCAAACAAAAAATGCCCTACTCTGTATCCGCGTATGCGCGGGAAACAGTAGAGTAGCGCATGCGCATTTGATATAAACGCGCGAAAATTCTTACATTAAATAATTGTTTATTTAGATTGTATTGTTAATCGAATACATGTTTTAAATTTTCGTGTTCTTTTGCATATGTGCTAATTTAATATAAAATTATTATTAGCGCCGCTCCCACTGCATGAATATCGAAGCCACAATAACAGGTGTACAGATTGCAGTACAGTAGTTGAACATAGTGAGTGTTCGGAATGCCATATTCAGTGTGTAGTACATATATATCGATGGTTTCAGCCTATTAAATTCTACTGCTGAACATGGGCCTCCCCCACTGACTGCCTCATATTTGCCATAGTTGCCACGCTTGATAAGCGGCAACCGTAGTCTATTTAGCCATTATTAGGAGGAAGAGGCTGCTGCCTATGTCCTGATTTTGTCCATCTTCCGCCTCTTACGATACCCACGGGATGAAATCGGTAGTGTATATTCTGAAACCGTAAGTACATGGTGGATTTTTTATTGGCTGTAATAAATAAATAAATAATATTTGTCATCTCCAGTCTGTTAAAATCTTTACGATTCGAAGATTTGCCTTAATCATTTAGCAGACAAATTTCGAGAAATGCCAGTAGTTCAAAATATAGGACTTTTTATAAGCCGATTGCAAGACATAGGCTGTTATATTTCTTAAATATAAAATATGCAAAAAGTACCTACCTTACTTACACTTATTGCTTAAGATGTACACAACTATAGCAATATTAGAGTCACAGTGACATTAAAATGTTATTATTATTAGTGTTCACTGCTGAACATATGCCTCATCCTTCGATGAGCACACGTAACTCATCCAGGGCCACAAAGCACGGTCCTGAGCCATCTGCATCCATCGACTACCAGTATGTCTTACCAAGTCCTCACTCCATCAAGTGAAGTGTCGCCCTTCGTACTCAGTACGATGCTGCCTATCGAGAACGTTTCTTCCACATTGGTTGTCAATTCTTCGAGCTATATGGTCGGCCCATTGCCACATTAGTTTACTAATACATTGGACCATGTAAGTTACTCTGGTTCTACTGCAGATATCCTCATTTCTAAGTTTATCACGCATAAATCCCGAGCGTAGCGCTCTCCATAGCTCGCTGAGTAATCTTGAACTTCTTTATACGGCCAGCAGTGAAGGACCACGTCTCAGATCCATAAGTCATCACTAGCAACACGCACTGAAGATGTGTCGTAGTTTCCCGAACGATGCCCGGCTGAGTTGAATTCTTGGTTGAAGTTAGTCTTACCTAGTTTGTCTATTTGTTCTAGGTAAACATACTCGTCAACAACTTCGACCTTAGTGCTCACAACAACTACAGGCAGGGGTGGACATGAACGTTACACGTGATCTTTGTTTTGTCCACAGAACTCCTATTAGGTGTACTGTGGATTTGTCCATGTTCATCTTAAGACATGAAGTTATCATTAATTTTTTTAACTCAATTATATTATTCTTATCGCATTGCTTACCGTTGTCTCGTTGTCCGGGGTCACTTTGGTGGCATCCAATATGTCGCAAATACTCATATCAGTTTCTCCGTGGTTGGCCATGGAGTTTAGTATAGTCGGTACCCACACGTAGAAACCATTGGTACTGTAATTGTAACAATGACTAACAAAAATAGCTCAATAAAAGACACTGTCTTGACACGGTATAAAATCCCAGCAAATCAGGATCTAAACAGAACAAAACTTGTTAGTCTTTCGAATTTTTCACCTAACTGTATACTGTGGCCCAAAGACATCCATTATTAGTGTTCGCATTATTAGTGTTCACTGCTGAACATAGGCTTAACTACATCTACAATTAAGAATCAAAATGCAGATGTGTTGTCACCCTTGAAGGCTAAAATGGAATGCCTCATTTCCAGTAATAAGGGTATCTCCATTCCATGCAGTTTATGATTATTATAGGCTAGTAAAATATAATTAACGACTAAAACAGATAAAAATGTAGACATCCCGTCAATAAATAAATATTTTTATTTTATTTTAGTTAGTGGATAGTAATATTGACGTCTTCCAGACCGAATTTTGGTCACGGTGGCCAATCTTAATAGAGACTAATCCATCTACGCAGGACAGGATTATACTTCCAAAGTGTATTACAAGCAAGTGCACTCTTTATTCCCTCACTTTTATGGACGACCCATACGTTAAGTTCAAGTGATTATGCCAACTGATCAGTTTAAACGTAATTCTATACAATAATAAAACTCCGATATTGATATATTTATAATCTCGTTGGTCTAGTGGTTGCAGTAGTGCAACTGCTAATCATAAGATCCTGGGTTTGAATCCCGGGTCGGGCCAAAAATCAATTATTGAGTTTTTGTGTCAAGAAATTCTCAGTAGCTGCCCGGAGTCAGGAAGCACGTAAAGCCGTTGGTCCTGTGCCTGATCCTCTCCCGGTCGTGTCGGTTTACCGTCCCATCGTATTACGAGAGTGAGGGAACAGAGACTGCACCTGTGCTTGAGCATACACTTGGGCACTATAATCCTGTCCTGCGTCGATGGCTAGCCTCTGTTGAGGCAGGCCGCCGTGGCCGAAATCCAGTGTGGAAGACATTATTATTAATTATCGATTTATCGAAAGTACTTTAATAAATTTTTAATTATTAACTCCGGGGGGCGGCGGGTTGGCCTCCGTTTCCCTTGGTTTTTTTACTTATAAGTAATTCTAAGCGTTAAAACATTTTTGTAGGTTTGTTCGGTTCCTTCACAAGGTGCCCGCCGTTTTAAAATTTTAAAATAAATGAATATACCAACAAATAAAAAATGTTAAGAAATTATATCTAAAATTTATTGTTCTTCATAAACTCAGTGCATTTTTAAGTTAGGGAAAATTCTTTTACGTAAAAATGTTTGTATTGTGATTCCGAAGGTGCCTGCCGTCTTTATTTTTGATATAAAATATTATTTATTAACATAATTCGTTTTAATTAAAACACCTAATAATAATATCATATATTGCCAGATAAAAGTTTGCCGTAATAAATTACCAGGCGCTTCGACGTATGGCATAAGGTGACAACAGTCATTGTGTTTATAGTGAAAATTGTTAATTTTGTGTTTTATACGCGTTTAAGGTGTATGGGTAGGAAAAGAAATAAATGTTACCTAAGTGGTAAAACACAGAGAGTTTATCGCATGAACGAACTGCTCGAATGCTCTAAGTTTCTTTTTGAGGTTACTTATATTTTTGTAAGGTACTTTATGTTTGAGGCTACCTAGTAGGCTGCATTTTTACTCATTTACATTAGCCAAACTGATCATTTATACTTTTCTAGGCAAGTAAGAAACACTAAAAATGTAAATATCACGACCGAGTGGCAAAAGAATGTAGTGCAAGCACAGAGACCGAAAATATTGTCATAGTCAATGTATTGTCCGAAAACATCATCATCATCATCATTACAGCCCTTCACAAGTCCACTGCTGAACATAGGCCTCCCCCAAGTAATGCCACAAAGCACGGTCCTGAGCCACCTGCATCCATCGACTTCCTGCATATCTTACCAGGTCGTCACTCCATCTAGTGGAGGGTCGCCCTACACTACGCCTACCGGTACGAGGCTGCCACTCGAGAACCTTTCTTCCATATTGGTTATCGGTTCTTCGAACTATATGGCCGGCCCATTGACACTTCAGCTTACTAATCCGTTGGGCTATGTCGGTCACTCTGGTTTTACTGCGGATATCCTCATTTCTGAGTCTATCACGCAGACAAACTCCGAGCATAGCCCTCTCCATAGCTCGCTAAGCGACCTTGAGCGTCCTCATACGGCCAGCAGTGAAGGACCACGTCTCAGATCCGTATGTCATCACTGGCAACACGCACTGGTTGTACAATTTAGTTTTTAGAGATTGAGGTATACCTGATGAGAAGATATGTCGTGTTGTCCGAAAACATGGGTTAAATAAATAATTAAGAAAAACCGACATACTTCGGATGTTAAGATTTTTTTTTAAACAAACTTATATATTTGACATGATATTGTATTGTCATCCAACCTACAAGTCAAGTTAACTTGCAAGGTTTTATTACAGACACAGACAGACAACAACAGGACAGGTGAAGCTAAATAAAAGCTTGTAAAAATGTAGTCATCACCTATTTCCCTAATTGGTTAGGTACACTTTTTTCTTGTCCCTGTACTTTACAGAACTTATAACCTACACTAATATTCTAAAGAGGAAAGATATATTTATAACGAATAAAGTACAGAATTTATAATCTATAGGAACTAATATTATAAATAAGAAAGATTTAATTAAGAAGTAAGCAATGCTCTCTGTGTTATTCATTACTCTGCATATTGAGCTAGCTCAGTCGTACGGGCTTTATATTATACATGTCTATATAAACAAACGGTATAATATTATACATGTCTATGCAAACAAAGCGTACGGGTAGCACACGTGTTGTTCGATAGACGGCGCGTGGTTTGCTGCGAAACGAGCAAGGTCATTCGCGTCGTATTCGGCCTTAATAGGAAGGTAACAAAGGTAATCTGGCACGACCGGAGAGAAAAGTCGCAGGGCATTAGCAATACCACCTCCTTTTGGGCTTCTAATGGGAGTTTCTTAATTAAAAAAAAAACCCAATAACTGACTTTTAACGACCTGAAACTCAAACCCATGATCATGATTATCAGCCGCCTTTAGGAACAATAGACCAAATGAGGCAGGCAAGTCAGTTACCGTTCCGAACTACAGTTTCGGTGCGGGTCTTCACATAAACTCAACTATTTTTTATAGAGCACGCCTAATGGCATGTCAATGCCATTTACCTTACGAAACGCAACAGCATTGTTTTGTGGCGGTTGCTATTTAACGCTGGTATTTTGTGAGAAAACTGGAGCACTTAAGGCCCTGATCTACGACGGCTTTCAGAAATCATAGGAGTCTATTCTCAGGTGTGCATCGTAGCCTATACACGTTACCTATTTTACTTTTTAATTTTGAGATGGCGTGGTCCTTTCCCATAGTTGCAGCGTGTCACTATCACGTACTCGTATATGTCTTCTGGGAATGATCTATTCCATTATATAAATATTTCCATACATCAATATCACCTGTACTCCATACATACATACTTTACTGTCAGGAAGCCTAAGCTCTGGTGGCCGGTATGGGCTGGTGCAATGGCAACGAAAGGCGTAATAATTACTTCATGTAATGTCGTGATACATAGTTAATTCATGGATGAGACCTATGGTTGGATGATGATGATGAAAGGGATATCGAATGTCCTAATATTCTTAAATAATAACTTTTACCGAAAACTTACGTTGAAAATATTCCGAATTGGACGAAGCAAGTAAGTGCAGTCCAAGGCAAAAGTGGCGGTCGGAATAGGGGCACGGTTTGATCCCTCATTGATTCTAAAATCGTTAAAATCGTGGACTTGCCTTTTGTTTCCTCTTGTTTAGATGACTGTGCTTCAATCACTAGATTTGTAACCTGTAATTTTAGTTATGTACTGAGTTAACATAATGCTGTAATGTGTTTGAAAAATCCCTAGAATAGCTTATCATGTTTTAAAACCAATAAATATGATCTAAACTAAACTACTTCCTAGCTATATGCTCTTAACCTAAAAACAATTTATATTAGCGTTTTTTTCTGTTTCGTTATAACTCTCTGTTGTGAGAAGCACCAGCAAGAATCCCAGTGGTACGTTTTTAATAAAATAAACAGTTTACAACCATAAAGCTACACAATAATTAACATTAAAAAGCAAATTAGAAATAGCATGCTAGCGATCACATTTTTCCCAGGGGTTGTTATTATCATCAATAAATCTATATATGTACATACATACATGTGTATGTACATATATTTGTTTATTGATTGATTCATCGGGATTGATTTTGTTTTTGTCCCATCATTAAAGGTATCATTATCGTCAGTCTTCGTTTTCGGGAGCGTTTTGAAAACAGCCCTATATAATTTAGCATATAGCGCATAATTAGGTACGAAATGTTGTATTAGACGCATCAGCTGAACCGCATGGGCTGAATATCATTAAGGCCGTTAGGCCACTTGTTAAATGGCGCCTTTATGTAAAAGGGGTCGGCTGTTAACTGAAAGGCTTATTGAGCTAGTTGGCTCGAATTTATAACTCTTCTTTACGTATGTTTGCCATTGAACTCCTCCTAAATTGAAACAAATTTTTTGTGTATATTTGAGTGGGTTCCTGAGTAGTTTAGACTCACGATTAGACTCGGTAGGTGGCGCTATTGTGGAGATTCAGAAATCGCCTGTACAAGACCGAGGCGGACCGCCACTTTTTTTATAAAATATTAAAATGTTTCAAGCTATTACTGGAAAACTATCGGCAGGCATCCACTTGTTGGTCGCGTAGATACTTCTCAAGACTTTCAAGCACTCGTCATGGTGACCAGCGGAGTACAGAAACTTGGGGCTCTCAGGGGCAAATATTAGCAAAATAGAGCTGATGAAGTAAGGCAAGGCACAGGCCACAACCAGGAGCCTCCAAGATCGGTACGTAATACCCAGAAACTCGATTGGCAGCGAGAATTCTAGCGGAAGAATTAGCCAGGATATACCTGCAATAAATAATAAAAATCCTATTAAAAGTAAAATTAAGAAAAAGTTTATTAAGACTGGAAATGAGACCGTCACATGACAGGCCTGGCCTAACAATATTGCATGCTGTGGTGTTTTCTTTTAATTAAAATTTCTGTATAATTTGACTATGTAAATCTACAAGCTTCATTAATTTAAATTTATTTTGATTTTGAAAAAGTAAAACGTCACCAGTTTCAGCAGCAATAGCAGATTATATGTCGCTAATATATATGTACTAAACTGCAAATCAATTGATAACAGGTGGCCTAAATAATAAAAAAAAAACTAAAAAGTGACCTTTTTGAAAAATATTTTTTCGTTTATCGATAGTCTTATTTATCTTTACATACGAGTATGTACCCTAAAATTAGAGGTTACAGTTATAATGGGAATGATGTGCATAGAGAACCGGAGACCCCTTTGACTGGGAACGAGGTATTCCACCTTAGTTTGCAGGCATGAAAAGGCATCTGTACTGTGATACTTAATTGAACATAGATGTAGATGTCCATGGGCCGCAGTATCAACTTACCATCATGTGGACTGTGGGCTCATTTGTAACCCTTTTATTTAAAAAAATATAGATATTTTTCTAATAATAGATAAATAATAATAGATGCTGAACCGTTTCCTTTTTCTGGTACTTTTTTGATATTTTTAGGTATACATCCTTTTTGCATCAGGCTTTTTTTAAATACGTTTATCGGATAAGAGTCATTCAGCAAATTAGGCTATTTTCGTTTCACCCTGTATTTGCCCCTCTTTAACACAGGTGATGATGCAGAGAACAGTCAGGCAGTTTAGTGTGAACTGGCGAGCATTCAATGTTCTCTAATTAATTTATTTTTAAAAATACGCATTATCTTTCTTTATGATATGTCCCTTCCTCGCTGTGCAAATATACGAGTAAGTCAGTACTTAAAACTGCGATTAATCCATTGGTGCTAGTGGATAGAGGCTTTTCCGAGTACTACATTTAATGCTAGCACTTAGCCCTTGAGCGACCATCCTCCTCCTCCTCATCACCCTCCATCATCCTCCTAATTAAGGTAAGAACAAACTTACTTAAGAACATATATGCGAATATCAAAATTGTCATTCTGATCGTTCATCATAATTTCTATAAGGCGAAAAAAGTACAGTAACGGCCTATATATCTACGTCCCACTTCTGAGTGCAAGGGATACGACTTAAGCACCTTCAAGGAGCTTAGTCCTTTTAAAAGGCCGTCAACGCACCTGCAACTCCCCTGGTGTTGCCCCCTCTTCTATAAAAAAAGCCTCCTCTTATTTCTAAAAGTGTTTCAATTCTTGTGCCAATTATGTTTTATCGGGTCGTTGTGGTGTTATAAGAGGCGAAAGAATGAAATGAAACAGGTGATTGGCAGCAACATCTTTCTGATAACAACTCAAAACACACACTTGGCAACCCGCCTGCCAAGCGCAGCAACATTAAGTTGTACAAATAATGTTTAATTGGACATTTTTTATAGGATAGGGTGACAAACAAGCACACAGTCCACCTGATGGTAAGTGGTTGCTGTGGCCCATAGACATCTACATCTTGTTAACATCGTGTTATTTTAAGGATGATTATATTACTGTTGTTAAAAAGTGTCAAAAAGTGAACTTTACAATCTTTTTATTACGAATAAAAATGCAGATGCGTTGTCACCCGTGAGGACTAAGATGGAATGCCTCGTTTCCAGTAAAAAGGGTCTCCGGTTCTCTACACTCACCATACGAAACACAGCAGCGTTAAGCTACTATTTTACGCTGGTATTCTACGTAAAAAAATCTGGTACATTCTACATAGACAATATCATTTCAAAATCAATAACAAAAAAACATCCAACAAATAAAATGACAACTAACCCGGTAGCACCACGGTACCAATCCCCACGAAAGACGATCCGAAAGCGACCATCTTGTCTCTGTGACGGAGGTTGTTAAATTCGCCGAGGTACGTATACACAACCGCTGTAGAACCCGACATGCTGAAACAATTCATAACGTTCGGTAACCCAAATGCTACTCGTATGTTTTCGGCGATGTTGTGCACTGCGGAATCGAATCCCAGGATTTGTATGGCCTACAAATAAATATTATGTCTGGATCTGAGAATCTGTTATGTTAATTCTGGAAATGTTAATTCTATGTATGTCAAACTTCTCCACAAGAAAAAATTCTAAGCTACTGTTTTTTAAAGAGAGAAACATATTTCTTAAAAAAATACCCAGACCTTTAGCTAATTAATTTTTAAGATCTTTAGTATAACTCGAAAACTCGGTTTATCTATCATTAATTGAAGATAATCATAAATATTTGACATCAGTAATATCTATTACTGATGTCTATTAATTTAGCAAATAGCGCAAAATATTTTAATAAATTAGTTTATTATAAAAGCAATTGATTGTATATGAAAAATTACACCTTGTAATAATAAAAATAATTTGTTCCAGACCAAATTTCGGTCACGGCAGCCAGCCTCAACGGAGACTAGCCAGGAGCAAGCACAGGTGTACTCTCTAATCCCTCACTCTCATAGTCCGATGGAACGGTAAACCGACAAGACCGGAGAGAGATCAGGCGCAGCACCAACGGCTTTACGTGCTTTCCGAGGAACGGGGGTGAGACACCGCCAACTTCCTGACTCCGGGCAGCTACTGAGAATTTCTTGGCAGAAAAACTCAATACTTAACTAATTTTTTTTCGTCAAACTGCGAATCTCGTCCGAATTCGTATCCGAGACCTTATGATCAGGAGTGGCGTTTACAACCACTAGACCAACGAGGCAGTCAAGCAGCAAGCAAGATAGCTTATAATGTCCTCCAGACCGAATTTCAGCCACGGCGGCCTGCCTCAACGGAGGCTAGCCATCGGCGCAGGACAGGATTACAGTGCCCAAGTGTATGCGCAAGCACAGGTGCACTCTCTATTCCCTCACTCTCGTTATCCGATGGGACGGTAAACCGACTCGACCGGGAGAGAAATCAAGCGCAGGACCAACGGCTTTACGTGCTTTCCGAGGCACGGGGGTGAAACACCACCAACTTCCAAACTCCGGGCAGCTACTGAGAATTTTTTTGACAGAAAAGCTCAATAATTGATTTTTTGGCCCGACCCGGGATTCGAACCCAGGACCTCATGATCAGCAGTCGCACTACTACAACTACTAGACCAACGAGGCAGTTATATAGAAGACAGCTTATATAGATCATATAAGAGCGATAATTAAAAATGGAGACATAGGTTGTCATAAAGTGTGTTACGAAACACGGTTACGTGCCTGCATCGCCAACACCCATGCTTCAATAGGTAGGTACTCACTTTATCTAGTAGGGAGTTCCTGCACTGCCCTTGCCCAGTAATCCGCTTTCACTCGAAAACCTTTACCCTCCATAAATTGTCAGTTATTTTAACTACAAGACAGGATTGTAAACAAAACAGCTTGCAAATAAAGGATATCTTGGTTTCAGATCATACAGAGAAACTTCTAGGAATATAAAATTAATTAAAACAATAATAAAAGGTGAATGTCACTGAAAGATATAATTCATACGATTATATTAATTCTTTTAATTTTAACGTGGTAGAGCCATGTTGCAGCTATAATATGATTGCAGCATAAACAGGTCAGTTCGACCCGGAAAGGACCACGCTCTCACAGAATACCATAGAAAAATAGCAGCTTAATGCTTATTAATGGTGAGTGTTGAGCACAGGAGATCCTTTTTACTGGAAATGAGGTATTCCATCTTAGACCTCAGGGGTGACAACGTATCTGAATTTTGATTCTTAATTGAAGATAAATGTATATGTCTAAAGGCCGCGGCATCCACTTACCATCAGATGGACTATGTACTCGTTTGTCACCCTTATCCAATAAAAAAATATGATTGATTTACAAATGGGTCGGCTCGATCGGGGAAGGATCCCACAATTTGGAAGAATACCAGCGTGAAATAGCAGCTTAATGATGCTGTGTTTTGTATGGTGAGTGTAGAGAGTCGGAGTCCCTTTTACTGGTTCTGCATTTTGTTTCTTAGTCGAGGGTATATGTAGATGTCTGTGGACCACAGATCCACTTACTATCGGGTGGACTGCGTGCTCTTTTGTCACCCTTATTCTATAAATAATATAAGTAGGTACGCTTAGTGCCAGAATCCTTTATGTGTGAAATCAAGGTGTTATTTATCTCAAGCATTAAACAGAAGACAGATACTCACAAAATAGCTGAAAGGAATTGCAGCACAGCAAATGAAGTTAATTTCGGCGCGAAACTTACGAGCACATTCATGAAAACGGAAATAAGCATCGAGTAAAGCATCACGGGCCGACGTCCGCGGGTGTCAGCTAACCAGCCCCAGAAGTATGACGTCAGAATTACGGCTAAAATTTAACAAAACAATTACTTAGTAGTTCCAATAAATTTACTATAGTAATGAGATCGCACTCAGCATTTGGGGCGGCGGTGGTGAACCACGACTTCTGTTTCCCAGGGTCACCTGTTCCGTCCCCTTCGAGTAGTAGAGATGTATTTTGATTATTTGTAGATCATAAAAGTAAACAACAGCAAAATATACCACCCCATGATGAGAGTTACGAAGAGACCGCCCCCAGGCGAGCAAAAGAGATAGACAAGTTGCGCTGGAATATCATAGGATTATACGAGGTCAAAAGAAAAAGGGAGGACACTGTAATCCTCGAATCTACAACAAGTTCTACGACTGACAGCGACTATCTGTACCCAAGGAAGTGTCGGATTTATCTTCCACAAGTCTCTCGTTAACAACGAAGTAAAGATTAGGAGTGTATTGATGAGGGTTACGTAGCTTATACGCAGAATCACCAAACGGTATTCGTCGAAGGTCATACAGGCTCGCACCAACTTGGGCACATCCCGATGTGGAGGTGAAGGAACTATGTGAGGGTATCTCTAGAGCCCTGCATTTCTCCAAAACTCACTATACGGTGTTAATGGGAGAATTCAACGCAAAACTAGGCACAAGAGAGAACGGTGAGCTAGTGAGCTAAGGGTAAGAAAATTCGGGATAGGTCAACGAAACCCAGCAGCAAGTTTCTGGCTGCCTGAGAAAGAGGTACGCTTTATGATGAACTCTTTCTACCAAAAGCGGCCCTACAGTAAGTGGACCTGGATCAGCTCCGATGGTTCCACAAAAAATGAGATTTACTACATTGTCATTATGTAGTAGACGGCAACTGTCCAGTGATATCTCAGTGATCCGGTTGGTAAAAATTGGTAGCAATCACTGTATGGGGAGAGGCACACTGAACCTAAACGTTAAGCTGGAGAGGTCACGTTTAATGAAGTCAACGTTCTGCCCCTCGAGCTCTATAGTCCCGAAAACTATTTCAGTGCCTAGAAGACCGCAATGCAGTGGATGATATGAATGACAAGCTCGTGGAAACTGACCATGTGGTCGGAGCTAAGTTCTGTAAGACCCGTCGCAGAAGAACACAAAAACTCTCCGATTACGCTCTTAACTCATGGTGTCATGATTAGACGGGAAATGAAGCTGCAGTCAACAGGTTTGAAGTGTTCAGCAGATTTGACACGCAGGCAATCTGCATCAGGCAGCATACAGGCAATTAAACTAACAGATTTCCCAATTCATGCGGCGAGACTTACGCAACTTCAATACAGCTCGTATTGAAGAAGCGATCAAGGGGAACCAGGGCATGTAAGTCTCGGATCATTTTTGGTTTGAAAGGACATGCTGAATTTTATTAATATCATTGGTGGCTTCCAAAATAATTATTTAAGATATCATTAAGGAAACTTACTTGATTTATTTATTAGTAACAATAATAATAATTTATGTTTAGAACCCTGAATGGAATTAGTCCCCTTATATTCTTCCGTGTTCATCTTAATATGAACATGGACAAAACAATGACAATGTGTAACGTCGATGTCACAATTTTTTTGTGGGGTTTTTTGTTTTTTGACACTTTTTTCTTTATTTATTATTTTATAATGTTTTTCACCGTGGTCATCGATGGGACGGATTAAACTCGGCTGGGCAGCGTAGCGAAAGTTTTCGGCATATCATCTTCTCATCAGGTATACCTCAAAACTTAAAAACGAGATCGTACAACCAGTGCGTGTTGCCAATGATATATTATGAATCTGGGACGTGGTCCTTCACTCCAGGCCGTATGAGGTAGCTGAATGTCGAACAGCGAGCTATGGAGAGGGCTATGCTCGGGGTTTCTCTGCGTTATAAGCTTAGAAATGAGGATATCCGCAGTAACACCAGAGCAACCGAATAGGCCAACGGATTAGTAAGCTGAAGTGGCAATGGCCCGGTCATATAGCTCGAAGAACCAACAAGCGATGGAAAAGCAAGGTTCTCGAGTGGAAGCCTCGTACCGGTAGCTGAGATGTGGGACCGCCTCCCACTAGATGGAGTGACGACCTGGCAAGACATGCAGGAAATATATATATATATATATATATATATATATATATATATATATATATATATATATATATATATAGTTATATATATATATATACATATATGGCGATAAGCGCCAATGGTACGATGTGTATGGTACTTACATCACCCCTTCTGCAATAGAAGATCTTCATGTCTAGCAGAGGACTTTAAGGGGCTGATAAAAAAGAAGAAGAAGATAAAATATATCAAATGAAATTTTGTTTTCGTCTCACCTAGAAATGGTATTGCAGCCAGCCAGCCTCTCTGTTGCATGGTCAGTTTAAGGTCACACTGCGCTGCCGGCAACACATAGCCCAGACCGAGGTTCTGAAGGATCACCCCCATCAGTATAATACCGCTCAGAAGCATGTGCAATATGTTATATACTCCAAATCCTGTAATTTGAAGAGACCCAAATTATTTTGTGATACAAAATTTTGTTTCAATTTTGCAATCAAGTGATAGTGCGCCATGTGATGGTGGGTAAAGAGAATACATCACCTCCTCTCGTCCTATGGATGCAGTAAGAGGTAACTATGGGATATATTAGAAAGATCCATACTAACGACTTAAGAATTATGCCATACTCTTTAAGTATCTAAAGTATTTAAAGCAGATTTTCCTTTACCGAAAATTTACATAGCACATCTGAATAAATATTTTAGACTACGTGTTTTAAAAAAGTTGGCTGTGGCAGGATACCAGCGGTGACCTAAAATCACCACATAGCTCAGTCACAGCCCAGTTTGTCTCAATACTTTTATGTTACTTTAGTAAGTTAAGTTTGTGATGATTTTCATTTGTAAATTTTTAATAACATGTGTGAACTGAGACAAATAAAAAGCTTTATTATTTCTTTTTAACTTATCGCTAAGAAAATTTAAAATTTTCAATAATCAGTGCGTGTGTGTGTGTGTGTGTGTGTGTGTGTGCGTGTGCGTGTGCGTGTGTGTGTATGTATGTGTGTGTGGATGTAGGTAAACCTCTTATAACTTTTGAACAGCTTGACCGATTGAAATGATTTTTAAAGTGTTTCATCAAACTTAGATTTCCTATGAATTTTAACTAATTCGGACCGGGAAATTTTGAGAAACTATTTCTTTTGGAATAACTTTTAAACTTCTTTACCGATCGATTCCAAAAACTAATCAGGTTTTAACCTTGGTAAAAGCAGGTCGATCACCGGCGATCCAGTTAAAATTGGTTGATTCGTTCGTGAGATATCGTTAACGAAAATTTTTGAAAAGATTTTTTTTTAAATTGCTCCGATATTTCATATTCAACGTCATAATTTGGTAAAATTTGGAGCGCTTTACAAGATACAAAATTTACATTTGCACACGCTTTACAACATTTGAAGTTCCAGGGATGGCCTGCAGGGTCAACCAATTTTGTATCTATATAGTTTTCTCATCTGGTTGGGTTCTATAAATATATAATTGTAAATGAAAATGAACATAGACCTCCCCCAAGTAATGCCACAAAGCACGGTCCTGAGCCACCTGCATCCATCGACTTCCTGCATATCTTACCAGGTCGTCACTCCATCTAGTGGGGGGTCGTCCTACACTACGCCTACCGGTACGAGGCTGGCACTCGAGAACCTTTCTTCCCCATCGGTTATCGGTTCTTCGAGCTATATGGCCGGCCCATTACTACTTCAGCTTACTAACTCGTTGGGCTATGTCGGTCACTCTGGTTTTACTGCGGATATCCTCATTTCTGAGTCTATCACGCAAAGAAGCGTCCTCATACGGCCAGCAGTGAAGGACCACGTCTCAGATCCGTAAGTAATCACTGGCAACACGCACTGGTTGTACAATCTAGTTTTTAGAGATTCTGATCCTGCTAGGGTCTGGAAATTTCTTAAATCCTTAGGAGTTGGGAAATTACGACAAAATCTCACACACCATAACCTTCATCTCAATCAACTTAATTTGCATTTCTCATCTTCTTCTTGCATTAACGATAAAGCAAAACATAATACTTTAGATTCTCTTTCAAAAGCTCCCACTCCGGACACCCTTGCTTTTAATTTTAGCCAATTTAACAGTTGTGATGTTAAGAGAGCCATAATGTCCATCCATTCAAATTCGATTGGTAGTGACTGCATTAGTCGGAAAATGGTCATCCCTCTCATTGATCTCCTTTTACCTATAATCACGTCTATCCTGAATAAATCACTGAATTCTGCTTTTTTCCCTTCAGCTTGGAAAGACGCATTTGTAGTTCCTCTTCCGAAAAAGTCAAATCCCTCTAGTTTTTCCGATTATAGACCTATCTCTATTTTGCCTTTCTTTTCCAAAGTTCTAGAACGTCTTGTGCACAATCAATTAAGCACATATCTTTTAAAACACAATCTTTTAAATCCCTTGCAATCCGGTTTCCGTCCTGGCCATAGTACGACTACTGCACTTTTACAAATCACTGATGATATTCGGTATGGTATGGAGAAACAAAAGCTTACTATTCTCACGTTGCTTGATTTTAGTAACGCATTTAATACTGTAGATTTTGATATCTTGTTAAGCATCCTACGCTCTCTCAACATATCTCCAACTGTAGTTGACTGGTTTCGAAGTTACTTGTTTGGTCGCCGACAGCGAATTCAGGTGCAAGAGGTTTTTTCCACCTGGATTACTACAGCTGCTGGTGTACCACAAGGTGGCGTGTTGTCTCCTCTCCTTTTTTGCAATTTTCATTAACTCTATAAGTCATAATTTGTCCTCTTCCTACCACTTGTATGCTGATGATCTCCAAATCTATACTCAGTCCTCTCTTGAAGATCTATCTAAAGCAGTTGACACTATGAACGCTGATCTGACTTGTATTTCGAATTGGAGTAAATGTTATGGTTTAACGATTAATCCTAAGAAAACTCAGGTCATTGTCATTGGTAGTTCTAGATTAATTGGTAAAATTGACTGGTCTTCCCTACCCCCTATTATACTAGACTGCACTCTAATCCCTTAGAGTAACAAGGTTAAAAACCTGGGGTTGTATCTGGACTCCTGTATGTCTTGGACCTCACAGGTTAATGAGGTCAGTAGAAAAATGTTTGCTGCGTTAAGCTCTTTACGTAGATTACGTAATTTCCTTCCCACAGCAACTAAAGTTACGCTCGCCAAGTCTCTTCTTCTGCCTATTCTTGACTATGCTGATATTTGCTATCTTGACATTACCGAGGAGCAGCTTAATAAGCTTGAGGCATTCAAAATGTATGCATTAGATTTATATTTGGGCTTCGCAAATATGATCATATCTCCGAATTTCGCAAAGAGCTCAAATGGCTCCCGATCCGCCTTCGCAGGAATACTCACATTCTCTCCGCGTTGTATAGTGTGCTGTTTAATCCTTCTACTCCTCTTTATTTAAAAAACCGTTTCCAGTATCTTTCTCTTACCCATAATCGGTTCCTTCGATCCTCCATCAATCTTTCTCTCTCCACACCTTTGCACTCTTCTTCCTTTTTCAAGAAATCCTTCACCGTAACCGCTGTGCGATTGTGGAACTCCTTACCTCTCCATATTCGTCGTGCTAAATCTCTTCACTCTTTCAAAATTCTTGTTAAATCGTATTATTTAGAACGCTATTAGATAAATTACTTTACCTTTCTCTTACTCTTTTCATTTAATCTATTATATGATATTTTATATATAACTTTCACTTACTTTTATTTGTATGTATTGTTGTATTTTTTTTTATTATTTTGTATGCCCCCCCTCTATTTGTAACTTTTGTTTGCATCATTACTCTACGCAAAGGTTGTCTGGAAGAAATCACTTTCAGTGATAAGACCGCCTATTGTACATACTTAATTAGTTGTAACTATATTTATGTTTCTGTATTGTGGTGTACAAAAAAGGATAAATAAATAAAATAAATAAATAACGTCTTCCAATGCAGCGGTGAAGAGTTTCGGAGATATAACGTCACCCTGTCTTACACCTCTCTGCAGTTGGATAGGTTTCGAGCTCTGGTTCTGTACTCGGATAGCCATCGTAGCCCTACTGTACAAACACTTCAGCACTTCGATATACCGACAGTCAACTTGGCACCGCTGAAGGGACTGTAGCACCGCCCAAATTTCGACGGAATCAAAGGCTTTCTCATAGTTCACATATGCCAGGCAAAGTGGCAGATTGTACTCTTTAGTCTTCTGTACAATCTGCCGCAGGGTATGTATGTGGTCTATGGTACTGAAGCCTTTTCGGAAAACGGCTTGTTCGGGAGGCTGGAAGTCGTCGAGTCTGCTTGCGATACGATTCGTAATGACTCTCGAAAACAGCACGTAGACCTGGCTCAAAAGGGAAATCGGTCTGTAGTTCTTTAAGAGAGCGTTGTCGCCTTTCTTAAAGAACAAGACCACCGCACTTCTGCTCCACGCCTCTGGAGTAGTGCCACCATGGAAGACGGAATTGAAGAGCTTCTGAAGGACTTCAAGTACCGGTGTTCCACCCGCTTTCAGAAGCTCCGCTGTAATTCCATCCCCGCCTGGGGCCCTACCGTTTTTAAGGTGCTGGAGAGCCATTCTAATCTCGCTTAGACTGACGTCCGGGATATCATCGGAATAGTGTCGAATAAGACTTGATCTCGGATCGTTAGTCACACTTGCGTGTGGCTCCAACGATGATGTGTACAGCTGCCCATAGAACCTCTCAATCTCACTCAAAATCTCAGGTGTCCCGGAAACGATGCCGCCACACTCAGTCTTCAGCCTTGACAGTTGGCTCTTACTGGCAGACAGATCTCTGGCAAAGACTTTGGAGCCCTGGTTCCGCTCGATCGCTTCTTTAATACGAGCAGTATTAAAGTTGCGTAAGTCTCGCCGCATGCATTTGGAGATCTGTCTGTTCAGTTGCCTGTATGCTGTCAAATCTGTTGACGATTGCAGCCTCATCTCCCGTCTAACAGCCATGAGATTAAGAGTGTGATCGGAGAGTTTTTGTGTTCTTCTGCGGCGGGTCTTGCAGAACTTAGCTCCGACCGCATGGACAGTTTCCAGGAGCTTGTCATTCATATCGTCCACTGCATTGCAATCTTCTAGGCTCTGAAAGCGGTTACGTAACTCGAGCTGAAAGTTTTCGGGATTCTGGATTAGAGCACGAGGGGGACGGAGCGTTGACTTCATTAGACGAGACCTCTCCAACTTGACGTTCAGGTTCAGTGTGCCTCTAACCATTCGGTGATCGCTGCCAGTATTCACCCTTGCGATCACTGAGACATCACTGAACAGTTGGCGTCTGGTCGTCATAATGAAGTCAATCTCATTTTTTGTCGAACCGTCTGGGCTCGACCAGGTCCACTTCCTGTGGGGCCGCTTCTGGAAGAAAGAGTTCATCATAAAGAGTCCCTCTTTCTCCATAAAGTCGGCCAGCTGCTGGCCCCTTCGGTT